GTAGTATAGGTATGATAGGAACTGTTTATTACAGATAACAGGTGAAATTGTTGAAAAAATTGTTATTTTGAAATATTTTAGAATGTATTTATCAATTAAAATTAATTAATTTCGTAGTCAAAGAAATCTGTCTTAATAAAAAAAGTAGTAACAAAGTATAATTTACTGATAGAAAGAATCCAGCTCCGCTTTAAACTAATTTATTTTGTTCATCTAAGTGGACAGAAAATAATATAACTGAAAATACATACAAAAAAAGAACTTACTTTACAAGATTGTATTCGAATGGTCCTCTTTTATCCAGGAAAGAAACTTTCTATCACTTATTACTTGTAGGAAATCCATGAACTGATTTCCTTTTCAAAAAAAAATGTGGCAATTGAGCTAAACTGTGTCCTGTAAAAAGTTAAAAGTAGCTAATGTATCTTTGAATAACCGGCATACACATTTTAAATATCAAATTGACGATGAAAGAAGGGATTTAATATAACGTACGCTTTTGGTAACAATTGAATAATAAATATTCTTTAGATAGAAAATTATTTATAGCTGCTGCAATTAAGAAGATTAGAAAATATGAGTAATCACTGTATCAACAAAAAATAACACACACGTACATCAAACAAGTATTCTCACATAAAATCTATAATTTAATATAAAAATAATATACAGAGGGATATTAAAAAGTAAATGAACGCACAAATTTAATTCAAAACAGGACAATCATAAATAAAGTTTCAGAGCTTTTAAAGGTAATATACAAAGGGACATTAAAAAGTAAATGCACAAAACGCAAAAATTTAATTAAAATTTGACTTAATGATAAATAAAGCTTCAGAGCTTTCCGATGCTAGTTTATATATATTATAAGTATGATAGAATCGATTTATTATAAATAATAGGTAAAATTGCAGAAAAAATGTTAAATTATTTTGAAATATTTTAGAATCGACCTATTAATTAAAGTTAAGTACCTAATCAAAGAAATCTTTAATAGAAAAGAGTAGCAACAGACCATAATTTAGTAGTAGAATGAATCCTGCTCCTTTTTAAACTAATTTACTTTGTTAATCTAGGCAGATGGAAAATAATATAACTATAAATACATACAGAAAAAAGAACTTACTTTGCATGTTTGTATTTGAATAGTCCTCTTACTTCCAGGAAGGAAACTTTCTCTCACCTATCACTTGTGGAAAATCCATGAACTAATTTCCTTTTTTCGAAAAAATGTGGCAATTGGGATACACTGTGTCCTGTAAAAAGTTAAAGTACCTACTACATCTCTGAATAACAAGCATACATATCTTAATGTTAATACAATGTACGCTTTTAACAAAAATTTAATTATAAATATACTTTCAATAGATAATTACTTACAGCAGTTACAGAAGAGCCAAATTAAGAATTTAGATGACAGCAGAATAGCAGAATAAAATAAAGTGGGGAAGTTAAACAAAAAAAGAAACAATTCGAAGGCGGAATGGATTTGATACAGAAGGAGATGCAAGGAAACAAAAGTAGCATCACAAACTATAAAAACATTGGTGAACAAACTACTTACAAAATAATGGAAATGAAGAGGTATTTAAAGGAAAAAGCAATTGCAATATTAGGGGACGGTTTGGAGCATAGATGCATGAGGAAATTCAAACACTGCTGGCAAAAAATAATGCATCTGCTTTAATGTATGGGATAGAAATTTATGGTTGGTATGAGTCTATTGGTATAGAAGATGTGCAGGATAAGTAATTACGTCAAATAATTGATACTAGATAGAATAACACCAGGATAAAACTTTATATTACTCAGTTCTTACTTCTTACAAACATTTACAAGAATTAAACTTACAGTTTTCTAAAGGAAAATAAAGGAAAAGATGTTTCAACAAAATTGTTTATTCCTCGACAAATGTTTCAACCTCTAAAAGGTCATTTTCAAGAGTGCAATAGTTTGTGAATGACCTTTTAGAGGTCGAAACAATTGTCGAGGAATAAACAATTTTGTTGGAACATCTTTTCTTTTCTGTTCCTTTATTATTGAAAATGTTTCATCGAGAATACACCATTGAAAGTTTAATTAGTTTTCTTGTCATAAGATTAGTCTTTTATAATTTTATGTGTCTTTTTCTACTTCAAGGAAAAGCATGTAGTGATGCAGTAAATTGAATTGTTTATAAAAAGTAAAGGGAATAATTTTTTAGACAATAAGAACTCAATTTCAAAGTTCACACTTTATTACTTTTAATTTTTGTGTAACATATAGTACAATATAATGCATTTGTTACAGTACGGACGTGTATGGAACTTCTGCCAGGGAATTGTCCTTCAGGAGACGTCATTCACCTGGAGACGTCCATCAACTTCCGTCAGGGAACCGTTCTTCATCTTTCATCAAAGGACCGACGTGGGTCGTCGTCGCCTGGACCGAAGAGGGGTGTCGGCCGCAAGGTGGCACCCGGGGATCGCCCCGGGTGCAGGACGCGAGGTGGCACCCGGTGAACACCCCGGGTGCAGGATGCGGAACGCGGCCCCCGGAGGGGGCCGCACGTCGAGGTGGCACCCGGGGATCGCCCCGGGTGCAGGACGCGAGATGGCACCCGGTGATCACCCCGGGTGCAGGATGCGGAACGCGGCCCCCGGAGGGGGCCGCACGTCGAGGTGGCACCCGGGGATCGCCCCGGGTGCAGGACGCGAGGTGGCACCCGGTGATAACCCCGGGTGCAGGATGCGGAACGCGGCTCCTGTAGGGGGCCGCACGTCGAGGTGGCACCCGGGGATCGCCCCGGGTGCAGGACGCGAGGTGGCACCCGGTGATAACCCCGGGTGCAGGATGCGGAACGCGGCTCCTGTAGGGGGCCGCACGTCGAGGTGGCACCCGGGGATCGCCCCGGGTGCAGGACGCGAGGTGGCACCCGGTGATAACCCCGGGTGCAGGATGCGGAACGCGGCTCCTGTAGGGGGCCGCACGTCGAGGTGGCACCCGGGGATCGCCCCGGGTGCAGGACGCGAGGTGGCACCCGGTGATAACCCCGGGTGCAGGATGCGGAACGCGGCTCCTGTAGGGGGCCGCACGTCGAGGTGGCACCCGGGGATCGCCCCGGGTGCAGGACGCGAGGTGGCACCCGGTGATAACCCCGGGTGCAGGATGCGGAACGCGGCTCCTGTAGGGGGCCGCACGTCGAGGTGGCACCCGGGGATCGCCCCGGGTGCAGGACGCGAGGTGGCACCCGGTGATAACCCCGGGTGCAGGATGCGGAACGCGGCTCCTGTAGGGGGCCGCACGTCGAGGTGGCACCCGGGGATCGCCCCGGGTGCAGGACGCGAGGTGGCACCCGGTGATAACCCCGGGTGCAGGATGCGGAACGCGGCTCCNAATCTTCCGCTTATATATCATCTTTTTTTATTTATTTGATGGAGTCGATGTAAATCTAAGTAATTAAAATTAAGAATATTGAAGTGCATTCATATTAAATATGTAATAGAGGCACTATCAAATAAAAATAAAATCTAGTCTTTTACAGTGATCCCATTTTTACATTGCAGTAAGAATATATGTTGCAAAATGTATGAAATGTAGGTACTAACATTGATAATGGAACATTCATTCTCTTCTTCAGCCATTATTTAAATTTAAAACACAGTAGCAATATCCGTCCTCAACACAATCTTCCAAGATAACGCAAGCACATGCGCTTTCAGTAAACGGTACAAAAATTTCCATGATGAAAGCTAGGTAATATGCAAATAATTTGGCAAAAATTTGAGCTTTGCATTAAAAAATGTATAAAGCTATAATTTTTTAATCTGTCTTACTTTGATTAATTAGAACCAGCAGAAAAAAATGTTATAATAAACTAACATACTTAAAAAAAATACTTTGGAACCATTAAGTTTGCCGTTTTTAAATCAACGAGAGCGTAATAAAA